GGACAGCGAGCACGAGCCTCGAGCCTCGGGCCACGGCGGGAGCCCAGGAGCCGGGGGCTGGGCTGGTGACAAACACGGCTTGCGCCCCGGCCGGGGAGGTGCTCTTGCTGGGTTGCGTCTCTCTGTCTTCTGTGTGGGAAGCTAACCCAGCTCAGCTACTTTTAATACACTTGCCAAGGTGTATACAATTATTCATTGATCTGAGACCCTGTAACTTACTTCTTCTGTTAATGATTTAGCAATACATTTCTGACTGCTGAAAGGCTAATTAGCCCCTTTAGCCAGCCCCCTAGGGCATCAGGCTGTGGTCCTATTAAATAGTTACAAAATTAATCTTACAAAATAAATTTTTAACCAAAAAAATCTTGTTTCTCATTCAGCATAAAAACTAGCTGCAGAATTTACATACTGTAGCCTGAAGCTGGAGCTCAGAGTGGAGGATCTTTTGCTTCATGTTTCCTGAACTCAGAGCTTCAGCTTCTTTATCTGGGAAACAGTAAATATCTCATACAGTTACTGTGGGAATGAAATGAAGTGGACTTTAGAAAATTGCGTACACAGTGGCTGGCATGTAGTAAGTAGTAATTAATGCCATTACTGAACTTCCCAGCAGGATGGTGGCCAGGGCTTCAATCTCCCTCTGAAATCTCCTTCCCAGAACCTTAATTTTTACCCCCAGATCTCATTACTGAAATAGTATGTGGCTGTGTAGGTACAGGTAACACTGCTGCAGTGTGAGTGGTCGCCTTTGATCAACCAAGAGACAAGCGGTGGCCCTAGTTCCCCTCTGCCCCAAGCCCCTCCCACACGGGTCCTGCCCTGATCAGTTTCTCCTAAAAAGATGAACTTTAGAAGAGAGTGTAACTTCCGCTTCACTGGCAATGTCAGAAATCGTTGACCTGAGTCCCCTACAACCCAATACTATTATGGACTACTGCACTCTTAGATTATTTTGCTGAGTTAACACACCTATAATATTCAAATAATGTAACTTAACATAAAAAAGGGGATACAGATGAATGTCCATTTTGTATCTGTGTATTCAAAGTGGTTAGGATAGATATATAGTTACATTCTCTTAATGAATACAGTGATTTGTTCTAATGGTGTTTGTAAATAGGATATCATGGCTGCATCTTGTACAGCAATTAACCACTGGGAGGAATGTATGAAATGTGTTAATTATTGAAACTGTCCTACCAATTTGGTTTGAAACTGTCTCATTGCTATTTGTTTATCAATAAAATTATGGAAAAAAGAGAGTGGAAGGAAAGCCTTGTGTCAGTCAGCACCAGTGCGGTAGGCTCTGCATGCGGAACGAGCCACTTCACAGACCCCAGGAATAAGGACCAGGATGTGTTTTGCTTTATTTAGCTGCGCTGTTTGGGATCCTGTCATTTTATTTCCTTGGATATCTTATCTCCCCATCCATATAGTAGATATAGTAGTGCCCTCTTCAAGGTTTCTGTGAATGCAATTGGAATAATTTAGATTTCTGAAGCATAGTAGATGCTCATTAAATGCCAATTTCCTTTCCTACCTGGATCATGGTCTGAAAGAAATCCCACAGCCAGTATGTTGGTCTTGTCAAAACTTTCCTTAAAGTGGCTATGGTTTTATTATGGCAGTGTAAAGCAGAGAGAGAGAGAGAGAGAGAGAGAGAGAGAGAGAGAGAGAGAGAGAGAGAGACAGAGACAGACAGACAGAGAGGCAGAGAGACAGACAGAGACAGACACAGACAGACAGACCGACCAACTGACCGACTGGCCAGTAACAGGGAAGGTGAGGACCCATCAGTGGACTTAGCCACTGAGTGAACCATGAAGATAACAGGCCTCGTCTTTCCCCTTTCCACTGCTTCTCGGAATGTCTTTCTCCTCCTGCTCCTTCGTCCTGAGAGAACTCCCAGCACTGCGTCCTTTTTTACGCTAGCTGCCATCCGGTCCATCTTCTGTAAGTGATTCTAGTTGCTGCTCCTGTTCTTCTCAGGGCTGATGGTGACTAATGCTTGCTGCACAGAAACTGTTCTAGAACTTCCTAGCGTTACCTCATTTAAACCTGAGAACTGCTGCAGTGGGACATGCCATTTCTGATTCTGTCCCAACCTAACCAGTGGACAAACCACAGCAGGAGATGACCGGCGCCCCGTCGTGGCACCTGAGCTGGCTGTTTTCCAGGGCTAACTTTTCTGTGTGTTGGGTTCAGGTTGTTTAAAATTAGCTAAGACAGCATTCTCACCCTTAAAAAGGAGGTTGTCCGGAGGAAGGAGTCAGAAATGTGAGTGTGTGGCTGGGCGTCCTACTGACCGTGCATTGTGTCACGGGCGAGTGTAGGTCCGAGAAAGCCCTTTGTGGGTGTTGGATGAAGTCTGTCAAGGACGAATGACTTTAAATACATTTTTACCGGATACGAATGATATTCCAGTATAGAGAATGTAAGAATTTCTGGGGTGTGAAAGAGTGTAGGGGGCTGGGGAGAGAGCTCAGCGGTCCCAACTTCAGTCCCTGGTACCAAAATTAAAATTAAAGTTTAAAAAAAGGAGTATAGGGCCCTTGGTGAGCTGTGGGGTGCGCTCGGGAGCTGGAGTGCTCTGCAGACGTTCAGGTGCGCCCCGACACACTTTCTTGTGCTAGTTAGTGCCTGATGGACCAAGAATTCAGCGAAGACTGAATTTTCCTGCTCAAAAATTCCTGTTTCAAAGTTTTTATAACAAATTTTGTCCTGAAAAATAGCAAGTTCAGAAGTTAAGACATGGAAACCCCAGGGCTGCAGCCAGAGGGGCCATCTCATTTACATAGAAAGCAGGTGTTTTTCACTTTGCAAGATAGAGGATTTTGGACTGAGTCATTGGCAGAATATTTTATTCTACTAAAATCAGGATTAAAATAATTTATTTACCCTGTTGAGGCCTAAATTTCCAAGGTCTTCCTAAGGAGAGGCCACAAAGAGGTAGTAACATAGGAACTTTTTGAACTTAATCCAGATGTCAACTTCTAGACGCTTTTATTAGTAGAAAATAGGTCTTAGATTGTACTGGTGAATAAAGACCTACTTGTTGCAGAGAAGAGGGACTCCACGGGGCATCCTGGAACCCGAAGCCTGCTTCGGTAGCCTCCTCCCGCCCTTGGTTTGTCCTCCCCACTGCTCTCACTCTGTCTCCGAGAAGCTTGGCGTGTAGTCAGCCACATGTGCCCGAGTCTCTGCAGAGTCCGCTTGGAGTGAAATTGGCAGCTGTCTGGATGGAGGGGCCAGTCGGGGTGAGCA